TTTCCCAAGCCTGTAGTGCTGCATGGTGTTGTTGTGACCAAAGTGCAGGACCCGGCACTTGGCCTTGTTGAACCTCATACAGTTGGCCTTGGCCCATCAATCCAGCCTGCCCAAAGTTCTGAGGGAATTGGCTGCTGTAGTTACCAAGCCACTCTCCATGATATTTGAAAATTCATGGCAGTCAGGTGAAGTCCCTGGTGACTGGAAAAGGGGAAACATTGCACCCGTTTTTAGAAAGTATAAAAATGAATACCCTGAGAACTACCAACCAGTCAGCTTCACCTCTGTGCCTGGGAAGGTCATGGAACAGATTCTCCTAGAAGCTATGCTAAGGCACATGGAGAACAGGGAGGTGATTCAGACAGTCAGCATGGCCTCATCAAGGGCAAGTCTTGCCTTGCCAGCCTAGTGGCCTTCTATGATGGAGTGACTACATCAGTGGACAGTGGAAGAGCTACAGATGTCATCTCTCTGGACTTCTGTAAGGCCTTTGACACAGTCTCCCACAACATCCTTCTCTCTAACTTGGAGGGGTATGGATTCGATGGGTGGACTGTTCAGTGGATAAGGAATTGGTTGGATGGTCATGTCCAGAAAGTGGTGGTCAATGGCTCAATGTCTGGATGGAGACCAGTGACAAGTGCTGCCCCACAGGAATCTGTGTTGGGACCAGTACTGTTTAATATCTTCATCACCAACACGGACAGTGGAAGCAAGTGTACCCTCAGCAAATTTGCAGGTGGCACCAAGCTGAGTCACATGGCTGACACACCTGAGGGATGGGATGCCATTCAGAGGGACCTGGAAAAGCTTGAGAAGTGAACTATGTGAACTTCATAAGGTTCAACAAGTCGAAGTGAAAGGTCCTGCACCTGGGTCGGGACAATGCCCAGTATCAATACAGGCTGGGGCATGAAGATATTGAGAGCAGCCCTGCAGAGAAGGACTTGGGGGTAGTGATGGACGAAGAGCTGGACATGAGCCAGCAATGTGCACTGGCAGTGCAGAAGGCCAACCATACCCTGGGCTGCATCATAAGAAGCATGGTCAACAGGTTGAGGGAGGTGATTATGCCCCTCTCTCCACTCTGGTGAGACATCACCTGGAGTACTGCATCCAGCTCTGGAGTCCTCAGTACAGGAAAGACATGGACCTGTTGGAGCAGGTCCAGAGGAGGGCCACAAAAATGGTCAGCAGGAGAGAACACCTCTCCTCTGAGGACAGGCTGAGGGAACTGGGGTTGTTCAGTCTGGAGAAGAGAAGGTTCCTGGGAGACCTGGT